TTCCGACTCATAATGACCCTGCACAGGGTTTCCGAGGCTGTAAATCTTTACTGGAGCAGAGAGCCTCATCTATCTCCCGCGGAATGACTGGGAGTTTCGAACTGCCGACCTTGAGGTTAACAGCCTGATTCAAAACCACTACGAGTAAAATTTTGTAGGGAGAGAAGGAGGAAGTGCAATTCTCACATATTTGGGGAAAGAATGTAATTGTTAAAAACTTATTGCAGGCCAAATGATAATTCATTTTAAAATGCATGTGGCTTTTGGTCTAGTAATTCCCCTTGTAGGAATTTATGCTGAAGATATTGTGGTATTGTAGGATAAGAAATGGACTGCTAACATCAGTGTCAGCAGTTCAAGCCCACCAGTCACCCTGTGGGAGAAAAGAGATGCGTTCTGTTACTATAAAGATTTCTAGCCTCAGAAACTTGGCACAAGGGTGCTGTGTGAGATGGAAATGGAATATACTTGAGTTTGTGTATAAAGATGTAACAACACGATTGTTCATCATAAAGTTACTTAGAAACCCATTGCTGTCAAGTGAATTGCGACACGTAGCAAGTTTACAGGCCAGAGCAGAAGGGCCCTATCAGGCTTCCAAAGCTGTGCTCTTTACACAAGCAGCTGACACGCCTTTCTTGAACACAGCAGCTGGTGGGTTCAAACTGACAACTTTTCAGTTAGCAACTGAGAGCTTAACCACTCTGCCACCAGGGCTCCTTAAAATTACTTATAATAGAAAAAAGATAAAATCAAGTTAAAAAACAAACAACATATAAAACTAAAATCAATCTAAATATACAATAAGAAGAAATTATGGTACAATCAAACAAAGGGATTCCATCGACTACTAAAAGTTATGGCACATCCATATTTATTAATATTTTGACAGGGTGTTTTTAAAAAGTAAGAAAACAGTATATATAATATGAGTTTATTTCTATTAACATATATTTGATTATACTTCTACACTCTCAAAATACAAAGTTTGGAAAAACACATCAAAATTTTTTTAATTAACTTTCTATTGTGAATTGAGTGAAAGTTTACAGAGAAAAGCATCAGTTTTACATTCAACAAAGCACACACTTTGTTCCACCTCAATGACTGCACCCTCCCTATGGTTCCTACTGCCCTGAAACCCTCTTTCCCAACCCTTCTGAACGTTGCCCTTAGGTAAATGTTGCCCTTTGAATCTTGACTGATTGACCATTCCATGGTGAGCAGACTTCACTAGTGTTGTCCCCGCCATATACCTACCTACCACTTGGCTGAAAATTGGGTCACGAGGGTGAGATCTGTTCCAGACCTGAAGGGTGGCTGAGGGCCAAACTCTCAGGTTCCTCCAGACTCTTTCTGACCATTAAGTGCAGTCTTTTGATAATTTTGAACTTTGTTTCACATTTTCTTCCACTCTACCTGGAACTTTCTAATGTTGATTCCTTTCACAACAGTTGGTAGTGGTAGGTGGGTACAGTCTAGTTCTTCATGTGTTCCATTCGTCCACTGGATTAGCTGATTCCAAGTGTCTTTAATTATCATCACTCTTCTTTCCTCTGCAAATGGAGAGACTAGTAGTTGCACCTTACGTGCCTGCTCATGCACTCAGTTGCCACTCACTTAAGTAGGATGTAGAATATTGTCTTTGGGGACTATTTTATGCCAACTGACCATGGTGTCCCCTGAGACTACGGTCCTGAACTCTCAGGCCCAGCAACACATTGCCTCAAGGTATTTGGTGATGTCTAAGAAGTTTTCATCAATTTGCCCCGTGGTGGTGGTCATAGTGGTAGTCGTGGTGGTGGTTGTGATGGTGGTGGTGGGCCATCAAGTCATTTTGACTCATTGCAACCCTGTATAGGGTTTCTGCAGCTGTAAATCTTTATGGGAGCAAAAAGTCTAATCTTTCTCCTGAGGAGCAAGCTGCTGGCAGATTTGAACGGTTGACCTTGCAGTCAGCATCCCAACTTGCTACCAGGGTCCTTTGCCCCCTGAATACACATCAAAATTTTAACAGTCTTGGCAATGTAATCTGAAATATTTTCATGTTTTATCTATTATTTCCACAATGAATATTTATTGTTTTGTTGTTAGGTGCCATAGAGTCAGTTCCAACTCATAGCAACCCTATATCGGGTTTCCGAGGAGCAGCTGGTGGGTTTGAAACATCAACCTTGTGGATAGCAATCCAGTGCTTATCATACAGCACAACATCACCAGGAGTCATTGTATTAAAAAAGGGAAAAGAAGAAAAAATATTGCTATCATGTAATCATTGTTGTTGTTGTTAAGTGCCTTCGAGTTGGTTCCAATTCACAGTGACCCTGTATAAGGTTTCCGAGGTTTTAAATCTTCATGGGAACCAAAAGCTGTTACTGGTGGAGCAGCGTACAGAATAGAACTGTGGATCTTGTGGTTTACAATCCAGTGCTTATCATAAGGAGCTACCGCACTCCTTCATAGAATCATAGCAGCTGATATCCAAAGCTGCTTATAGTCTATCATTAAGTTCCACTAACTATGGTGGTGGTGGTGTGCCGTGGAGTCGGTTCCAATTTACAACAATCCTGTACAAGGTTTCCAAAGCTGTAAATCTTTACGGGAGCAGAAAGCCTCATCTTTTCCCCTCGGAACACTTGGTAGTTTCAAATTGCTGATCTTGAGGTTAGCAGCCCAATTCATAGCTCTGGTAGTGTAATGGTTACGAATCGGGCTGTGAGCCTCAAGGTCAGCAGTTTCGAAACTACCAGCTGTTCCACGGGAGAAAGATGAGGTTTTCTGCTCCCGTAAAGATTTACAGCCTCAGAAACCCTGTACAGGGTCACTATGAATCGGAACCGACTCCACGGCACATAATCACCACCACCACACTACCAAAGCTCCTTATACAAACTATGTTGTTGTTGTTGTTGTTAAGTGACGTCAAGTCGGTTCCGACCCATAGCGACCCTGTACAGGGTTTCCGAGGGTGTAAATCCTTACGGGAGTAGAAAGCCTCATCTTTCTCCCGTGGAGCGGCTGGTAGTTTCGAACTGCTGACCTTAAGGTTCACAGCCCGATTCGTAACCACTACGCTACCAGAGCTATAAGACAGTATAAAACAACACACTCAGTAATAGAAGAAATACTGTATCTATATGAGGTTGAAGTATATGAAATTGCTGACATTGATCTATTTTGACTTACATAAACAGCAATTTCAAATGGCTGAACTTGATACTCAGAACTCAACTTCACTGCATCAAGTTGTTTCTAACTCAGAGCGACCCTCTATAAGGTTTCCAATGCTGCAAATCTTTACAGGCGCAGAGAGCCTCATTGTTCTCCTTTGGAACAACTGGTGGGTTTGAACAACCGACCCTGTGGTTAGCAGTCCAGTGCCTATCCTACAGCACAACACCAGGACTCCATACACACATCCTTTAATACACATATCTAAAAATATACCCAAAATATGAATAATGTTTATCTTTGGATGATGGGGGATTTTCTTTACCTTTCAGGTCATCTATATTTTCTTCATAAAATTTATCTGCATTTTCTTCTTTTAGTTTTCAATGTTGTCTACAACTATATCCATTTCAAAATTTTCAGGCCAGGAAAGTCAAAGAAAATTCAAATAAGCTGTCTCCAAGCCTCAGTTTCCTTTTTTTTAAAAAAAAGGAAATAATACTACTCCCCTACCTCACAGTTGTTTAACAATGAAAGGAGACTGCAGCGTAGAGCCTGGCACAGGGATGCAGTCAGTATAAGCGTCGTTAGGAAGGCAGATGTGAATCTGATACTCGGTAATGGTTACTCAAGTTATTTAACTCTGCTGTGTCTCTGTTTTCTCATCTATAAAACAGGAATGACCCCACAGAGTTTGTATGAAGGCTAGATCAGCTAACTGTAATGTATTTAGTGTAATGGCAAACAGCAAGAGCTCGGTAATTTCACTGTTTTATTCTCAATGATGTTAGAATAAATATGTATTATCTGTACAATAAATTACTTATATACTAACTATTAACTCTGAGTTGCCTATCTCTATTAGTTGTTGTTGTTGTCAGGTGCCATCGAACAATATATTGGTTATATATAGTTTGGTTTTTCTGAATATAACTGTTCCATTCCAATGTATAGAGTCCTGTTATAGCACTGTAGGATAAGCATTTGACTGCTCACTGCAAGGTCAGTGGTTCAAACCCACCAGCCACTCCTCTGAAACGTTTGCAGGGTTGCTATGAGTCGGAACCAATTTGATGGTACTTAACAACAACATCCCAGTGTATGTAGCCATACTAGTGGGAAATCCACAACATCATAATCATAAACTAAAATTCTATTCTACTTTACAGTCAACTTTTCCCAAAGATAACATAGTACTACACATTCATTAATTAAAGTTTCAAACTGACAACTGCTACATTGTAACTTTGCTTTTCCTTTCTTCTTGTTGTTTAAGTGCCACTGCGTCAGTCCAAACTAATAGCAACCCTTTATACAGTTTCCAAGGAGCAGTTGGTGAATTTGAACCACCGACCTTGCAGTTCAAACCATCCTTGTGGTCCAGTGCCTTATCCCACAAATATTCTACAGGGAGAACAAACTATTTTTAACCAAGCCTCCCTCTCCATCATATGCACATTTACATAAAACTTAAACAGACCAGACTCAAAATTTTATGATACTCAAAAGATACATAGAGTTTCTGCAACAGAAGGAATAAAGCATAAACTGAAGGAAGGGAGAATCAAGGAAATAAAAGGAGTAAATATGAAAATTATTGCTGGAGAAATCACCACTCTGTTTTTAACAAGTAAAGCCAACTTTTACATAGGGCTGCATACTTGCTTGTGAATGATGTATTATAACCATCTTTCATTCCCTCCTTATCAACTCTTAGATAAGAATATTTTTAATCTTGGATTCTAGTCCCCTTTCATCAGATATACATCATTTCCTCAAAAAATCACATGTAAAACAAACAGATCTTTAAGCCAGGAGTGGTCTCCTACCTTCACAGCTTCTCCAAGAGTTTGGTTTTTGTCAGCTTCCTCACTGGAATGCAATTCAAGTCTATAATTCAACTCTTGCAGTTGTTGTGCCTGCTCATTCAATAGCATCTGGGCCTGCTGTTCCCGAAGCAATGCATTATTCAGTTCTTCACAGGCACTTTCAAACTTTTCATGGGTGATCAGTTTCTGAAGAAAAGAAAAAGTAATCATTCAGTTAAAAGCTAATTGCATTGTATCGTTTGATCTTCAAGTTGATTTGTTTGAGTTATATTTGCTAACATAAAGAATATAGTGCAAGCATGTCTAATATACATGAAAAAAATAGTGATTTGTTCTTATAGTGATTTGTTCTTCTCCATTTTGTAAGTCAAGATCATATCTCCGCTTTGCTTTCTTCATTCACCTGTTCGGTGTCAGTCCATACACTCCTCACACACATAAGGTCAACCACATACTTAAGGTCACCACTGAGCAGGGACCTCATTCCATTTGTTCACCCAGTACACAGAAGAGAGCCTGGAATTCAGAAGGTCCTCAATAGGTATTGGGTGAATTATAGAATTCATATATATAATTGGGCAATAACTGCTGCTGTAGGTATTGTTAGGTGGCAAGTTGGTTCCTGCTCATACTAATCATGTATAGGGCTCCCAAGGAGCAGCAGGTGGGTTTGAACCACCAACCTTGGGGTTAGTGGTCCAGTGCTTATCCTACAGTTCCAATCAGGAATCCACGGGATAACACTGGACACAATGAAATACAATACAGTTTTTCCAATATGATGTCTGCTTTGGAGAGAAGAGCACTCTGTCTGGGTCAATTCTTCTATGGTCTTCCTTATTCACTGTCCAGCTTGCGCATGCATATGAGGTTATTGAAAATACCATGGCTTGGGTCAGGTGCACATTTGTCCTCAAGCTGACATCTTTGCTCTTCAACACTTAAAAAAGATCTTGTGCAGCAGATGTGCCTAATGCAATACATCATTTGATTTCTTGACTGTTGTTTCCATGAGTGTTGATAGTTGATCCAAGAAGAATGAAGTCCTTGACAACTTCCATTTTTTCTTCATTGATAAGAATGTTGTGTATTGGTCCAGTGATAAGGATTTTCATACCTTTCATGCAATCCATACCGAAGGCTGTGGTTTTTGATCTTCAACAGTGAGTATTTTAAGTCCTCTTCACTTTCAGCAAGCAAGGTTGTCATCTACACATCACAGGTTGTTATATTGTGTTCCTCCAATCCCAATGCCACATTTTTCTTCATATAACTCAGCTTCTCGGATTATTTGCTTAATATACAGGTTGAATAAATTGGTGAAAGAATACAACCCTGTTGAACACCTTTCTTAATTTTAAACCATTCAGTGTTCCCATGTTCTATTCAAACAACTGCCTCTTGGTCCAGGTACAGATTCCTCATGAGCACAATTAAGTGTTCCGGAATAATCATACTTCACAATGTTGTCCATAGCTTGTCATGAGATACACAATCGAAAGCTTTTGTGTACTCAATAAAGCACAGACAAACATCTTTCTGGTATTCTCTGCTTTCAGCCAAGATCCACTGCAGCTCACTAATACCTAAGATATCGATGTTTATGCATTCCATTTCACTTTTGACAATTCCCAATTTTCCTAGATTCATGCTTCATACATTCCATGATCTGATTATTAATAGATGTTTACAGCTGTTTCTCTTCATTTTGAGTTGTGCCCCATCAGCAAATGAAGGTCCCGAGGGCTTTATTCCCACGGGCTTTACTCCATTTGCATTATCACAGTGAACCCCACTTTGAGGAAGCAGTTCTTCTTCTCCAGTTGCATTTTGAGTGCCTTCTAACCTGAAGGGCTCAATTTTTGTCACTATATTTGACAGTGTTTCTCTGCTATTCATAAAGTTTTCAATGACTAAATATTCAGAAATAGTTCCTCAGTCCTTCTTCCTAGTCTGTCTTCATCTGGAAGCTCATCTGAAACCTGTGCACTGTTGGTGACCCTGCTGGTATTTAAAATACCCGTGGCATAGCTTCCAGAATCACAGCAATTCACAGTAGGACAAATTGACAGACGAGTGCCCGAAATAAGGTTTCCAAGACAGTAAATCTTTACAGAACCAAAAAGTCTCATCTTTCTCCTTCGGGGAAAGTACTTATCTTACAGCACCAAGTTAGGACTCCCTCTATAGTATATGCATGTACGGACTGCAAAGCCATTTGAACCAGAAGGTTGGTGGTTCAAGCTCACCAGCTGCTACTCAGAAACCCTATACAGGGTCGCTATGGGTCAGAACCAATTCAACAGCACTTTAGAACAACAACATACATCAGTTTGCACTGCAACATTGACAGTTCAAGCTCTCTAGCTGCTCCTCAGAAACCCTACACAGGGTATCTAAGAGTCAGAACAGACTCTACAGCACTTAACAACAACAATAACAATATACATGGTGCAGCACTGTAGGATCAGCACTGGACTGTGAACCACAAGGTCTGTAGTTCAAACCCACCAGCTGCTCCTCAGAAACCCTATGTGGGGTCTCTATAAGTCTAAGCCAACTCAGTGGCACTTAACAACAACACATATATTTACACTGTAGATATTATAAATTTATTCATATACACTGGTGTGGTGCTGAAGGATAAGCACTGGATGGACCGCAAGGTTGTTTGAATTGCAAGCTCGGTGGTTCAAACTCACCAGCCACTCCTTGGAAAACCTATACAAGGTCGCTGTGACTCGATATCACCTAACAACAAAAACAGAATACATATACGCACATAAGAGGAGAGCTCACAAAGTGATATTTTTATGTCAAATATACTTACAGACTGTTTAAATTCATTTAACTGCATTTGGAGACTCTGAGCTTTGTCAAGTTCCTTTTGCATTTCATTCACGCTTCGTTTGAATTCTGTGACCTCTAGGCGCAGTGAGCGACGCTCCACCTCAGCTGCATGCAGCCTTTGTGTAAATCCAAAGATTTGCTTCTGTAGTGATGTTGTGCTTTTCTGTTGGTAAGTAAGAGCAATATTGTATACAGTAACTATAGCTTTATTAATAAATTGATAAGAATTACCACAAGTAACTTAGGTGGTACAGAAAACAGTAGCTAATACTTTGTGAGCCAGTAACCCAATAGGAAACAAATCTGCTCTGTGAAGCTTCACCTGAAGAAAAACAAAAAAAAACAATACCACCTATTACTGAACCTCAGAGAAAAAATCTTATTTCTTTATAAGACAATATTTCAACTTATATGAAATGAACAATTAAGGAAAAGAAATCATTTAAATGGCGAGGAAAGGGAACTGACAGTAGTTTAGGCAGGAGGCATTTCTGCTGCAGTTCCCTCACAGCGCACAGAAGATTCAGAACAAATGCCAGAACTTCCGTATTTTGATATTTCAGATCTTTTATTTAGAAGGGATTCTGTTTACCTTATTTAACGTTCTCATAAGGAGCTCTGGTAGCATAGTGGTTACAAATCGGGCTGCTAATCTCAAGGTCGGCAGTTCAAAACTACCAGCTGTTCCGATGGAGAAAGATGAGGCTTTCTGCTCCGAAAAGATACACAGCCTTGGAAACCCTGTGCAGGGTCACTATGAATCAAAACCTACTCCAAGGTACTCAACAACAACAACAAAGGAAATCTAAATACACTCATGCACAAGTAATTTAAATGACAAATGGGTCTGAGTCAAAGTTTCATTTGCAAGTCCTAAGGTCACTACTGTATCAAATTGCATACATACCATAATGGGCACATGACCCCGCAGACCACATTTCAGGGCCACCGTGTTGACTTTATGAAGTCCGCGGGCCAACCTCTGAACCAGGGAATCTTTTTCTATGTACGTAATACCCCGACTGTGCAGAGGTATGCTCTCCATTGCCAGGCTAATTTTATCCATAAGCTTTGCAAAAGAATTCTTAGCAGCGCCTATGAGTAAATGTCCACAAATTCTGGAATTTGGATCTGCAAAAGAAAATTTTTTAAAAAGACGGACAAAATTGTCAATTGGCTCTTGTTAACTTCACAACAATGCCCATGACAACACAATGAAGATGCCTTCTCAGTGACATATTTCCCATTCACCTATAGTGATCCCCTCCAGTCTGCTTCCTCCTACCTTTCACTCTGAAGAAAGGACTTCAGAAAATGGGTCGGTTACTAAACAACCTATTCTCAAAGAAGTCGGCTGTACCTAGGAGTCATTAACAATATGTCCGTCACACTGAACACGATCCCACTAAACATTCATTACTCGTTTCTTTGTTTTAAAACCTAACATAAATTCATTTTCTGTTTACAACTACTGAAGCTTGTTACCTTAATGCCACATTATTTATAGTCTCAGACAAGAAAATATAATTTGCCTTATTTCAAGGCAATTAAATTTTTACAACTACAGTCGTTTACTTCCCCACAGGGCTTCAGTAATCATCGCTCTCTTGTAACGGAATTCAGGTCCCAGAATATTCAACATGGCCTGCTCACTGCTACATTCGCCAGGCCTATAATTAATAATTGTGTTTCATGTTGATAAATAAAATTGTCGGTGCTCTTTCTACTAATTGGTATTCCAGATAACAGTTAATAGGTTTATTTATGCCTTAATAAAAGTCCTATAATTTCATTTTCCCTCTGCTAGGCAGGTCATAATCTGGCATGACTTGTCTTATGGTATTATCCATGCAAAATGGTAAGTACGAAGGGATCTTTTCAATTCCCTAGCAAACCATTTTACATTTCAAGAGTTGGAGTTCCTTTAAATCTTCTTTTACATCACAAACACAAAAAGTGACTTTGACCAAAAGAAAAATGGTTTATAATTGTAAGAATACATGTGGATTAACACTAAACAGCAACATTGACTGAGAGGTTTCTATGTTATGAAGAACTTCCTCACAGAGGCCTTCCACCCTAAACTGTGAGTTTCATGCTATTTTCCTTATTCCTGAATGTATAAAAGGAAGCAAAAATTTTAAATTCATGCAGCAGTCATAATTTGACAACCAACCACACTGCTAGGAGTTACACATAAAGTGGAAATTATTAATTGGATAAAAATATAATATCCACAGTGTAAAATTGATTTCTCTCAGTTATTGATGCACTGAGTTCTAAAAATATAACACAGCATAAGGTACTACACACTTAATTTTATCCATCATCATAAACTTACTCATGAGACCCCCATAAAGACATACAAAAACTAATAATAATGAAGACACACCGCGCTTTAGGAGCCCCTGGGTGAGGCAAACAGTTAAACTACTGGCCTAAAGACTGGCAAAGAACCAACCCACCAGTAGCACCTTGGAAGACAGGACTTGCAATCCAAAAGGTCACAGTTTTGAAAACCTTACAAAGCAGTTCTACTCTGCATGCATGGGGTCATCATAAGCCAGATCTTTTTCTTTTTTAGTTTTTATTGTGAATTGAGTGATAGTTTACATGGGACAATATTAGTTTTACACTGATCGTTTCATTACAAAGATTACAATCTCCTCTGGGCATCATCATTCAACAGTATTTGCTTCTATTCCCTCTGTGGGGTTTTTTTAGTTTGTTTGTGGGGGTTTTTAAAGTACATAGAAACACTCAGGAATATATAATCATTTAAACAACCAAAGGGCACATTCTGCAAGCCTGCCTCCTGGCCGCCAGCACATGCCTTTCTCTTTCCATGAGTCTAGAGTCCTCAGCTGCTCTATCTCTCCATGTCCTCATCTCTGCCTCCATCTCTGGTGGCACTGCTTCTCTGGATAGGGTCTCACATTCTATTCACGCTCTTCTCCCTTGATGGTCCTAGGGTCTTCTGTTCCTAGAATATAAGATTAACTACTCTTCCCTTTATGTTACAAACCTTCTACCTTTACAGTTGGAGTCAGAATCTGACAACAAGTAATACAAACAAACAGGTCTGTGTTGGAAGTGCAGCCAGAGTGTTCCTTGGAGGCCAGGATAGCCAAACTTCGTCTCTCATATTTTGGACATATTTTCAGGAGGGATCAGTCACTAGAGAAGGCTATCAAGTTTGGTAAGGTGGAGAGTAAGAGAAAAAGAAGAAGATCCCCAGCAAGATGGATTGGCAAAGTGGCAGCATCAGTGGGCTCAAGCGTGGCCACAATCATGAGGTTGGCCCCGGACCGGGCAGTGTTTCGTTCTGTTGTACACAGGGTTGCTATGTGTCGGTACCGACTCGATGGCACCTAACACAACAACAATAATAACCTGGCATGGTGCTGGACTGCAAAGTCAGTTTAAACTGCAAGGTCAGTGGTTCAAACTCACCAGATGCTCCTCAGAAACCCTTTACAGTAGGGTCAGGGAACCTTTTTGCTGCCAGAATTTATAACATCATTTGCAGGCCATACAGAATTATCAACTTAAAAATTAGCCTACTATATTTGGTCAAACATTTATTTAACTCACCCCTAATATGATGGCTAAGGAGCTCTGGTAGTGTAGTGGTTATGAATCGGGCTGCTAACCTCAGGGTCAGCAGTTCGAAACTATCAGCTATTCCGTGGGAGAAAGATGAGGCTTTCTGCTCCCATAAAGATTGGAAACCCTATACAGGGTCACTATGAGTCGGAACCAACTCCACGGCACATAACAACAACAACAACAACAATGTGATGGCTTGAACCACGGTTGTCCTGGCAGGCAGACCTGTTCTCCACTCTAGACATATAAAGTCACTAGGAGTCAGAACCAACTCAACAGCACGTCATAACAAGAACAGTAATAGTTTCTAAGGCTATAAATCTTTATGTTAACAGAAAGTCTTATACTTCACCCACGGAGCAGCTGATGGGCTCAAACAACTAATCTCATGATTCACAGTCCAGTGCTTATCCTAGAGATCCTCTGAGCTCCAAACTACAGAATGCATTATTGAATGAATTAACAAATAGTAAACTTTATTTTGTCTATACCATTCAGTAAGGAGCTCTGATAGCGTGATTGTTACGAGTCAGGATACTAACTTCAAGATCAGCAGTTTGGAACTACCAGCCATTCCACGGGAGAAAGATGAGCTTTTCTCTGCTCCTTGTAAAGATTTATAGCACCGGAAACCCTACTTAGGATCGTTAGGAGTTGGAACAGACTCAGTGGCACACCACCACCACACCATTTAATATCATTTGTATGGTTCCCAAGACCATCCGGTGGGTTTGAACTGCTGACCTTGCAGTGAGCAGTCCAGTGCTTACCCTACAGCACCACACACCAGGCTTAAATGTTTGTGAGATTAATTATATTTCTTTTTACTTCCATTGCAGCTACAACAATACTGAATACATGACTCTATTCAATAATGTAGTCCTGGTATGGCGCTGTGTAGTTTCATGAGTGCTGACAGTGGACTCAAGCAAAATGAAGTCTTTGACAACTTCAATCTTTTCTTATTTGCTCAGTATACACATTGAATAAGTATGGTTAGAGAATACAACCCTGGTGCACACCTTTCCTTATTTTAAATCATTTTGTGTCCCCTTGTTCTGTTGGAACGACTGCCTCTTGATCTAGGTACAGGTTTCTCATAAGCACAATTAACTATTCTGAAATACCCATTCTTCACAATGTTATGGATAGTTAGTCATGATCCACACAGCTGAAAGCCTCTGCATAGACTATAAAGCACAGGTAAACATTTCTCTGGCATTCTCTGCTTTCAACCAAGATCCATCTGACATCAGCAATGTTCCAAGTCCTCGTTCCACATCCTCTTCTGAATCCTCTTCTAGCAGTTCCCTGTCAATGTATGGTTTCAGCCATTTTTTAATTGTCTTTAGCAAAATTTTACTTGCATGTGATATAATGATACTGTCCAATGATTTCTGCATTCTGTTACGTCACCTCTCTTTGGAAGGGCACAATGTGGATTACTTCCTATCACTTGACCAGGTAGCTGCCTTCCATATATCCTGGCATAGATAAGTGAGTGCCTCCAGTGCTGCATCAGTTTGTTAGAAGATTTCAATTTGTGTTATATCAATTGCTGGAGCCTTGTTCTTTGCCAATGCCTTGGACTTCTTCCTTTGGTACCATTGGTTTTGATCAAATGCTACCTCTCTAAATGGTTGAACATGGACCATCTGTTTTTGGTACAGTAACTGTCTATTCCTTCCATCTTCTTTCTGTGCCCTCTGCATCATTCAATATTCTGCACATAGAATCCTTCAATATTGCAAATCAGGGTTTGGACTTTTTTTCTTTAGTTCTTTTAGCTTGAGAAATGATGAGTATGTTCTTCCCATTCAGTTTTCTAATACAGGTCTTTGCACATTTCATTATAATAGTTGACTTTGTCTTCTCAAGCTGCCCTTGAAATTTTCTGTTTAGTTCTTTTACCTCTTTATTTCTTCCATTTGCTTTAGCATGTCTACACTGGAGACTAAGTTTTAGTCTCTTCTGTAAAAAGTTTCCATTTTGGTCATTTCGTTCTTTTTTGTCTACTTAATAACCTTTTGCTTTCTTCCTATATGAAGTTCTTGATGTCATCCCACAACTCTTCTGGTCTTCAATCAAAGTGTCTAATGAATTAAATCTGTTCATGAGATGGTCTCTAAAGTCAGATGGGATATGTCCAAGGTCATATTTTGAATCTGGTGGATTTGTTTTAATTTTCTTCAGCTTCTGCCTAAATTTACAAATGAGCAATTGATGGTCTGTTTCAGTCTGTCTCTGGCCATGTTTTGACTGATGATATGGAGCTTTTCCACTGTCTTTTCCCAGAGATGTGTTGTTGTTGTTGTTGTTGTTGTTGTTGTTGTTGTTGTTAAGTGCTGTCAAGTACATTATTACATTCCATGTTCCAATTATTAAAGGATGTTTACAGCTATTTCTCTTTATTTGCCCCATCAGAAAATGAAGGTTCCAAAGACTTTATTCCATTTGTGTCATCATTGTCAGCTCTGCTTTGAGGAGGCAGCTCTTCCCCAGTCATATTTTGAGTGCCTTCC